CTATATATATATATGTGTGTGTGTGTGTGTGTGTGTGTGTGCGGTGTGTGTGTGTATTTATATGCATATACGTAAACATATACGTATATATATATATATATCTATATATATATGTGTGTGTGTGATCAACTCTGCTGAGGTTTGTGAGAGAGTATCCTCACAAGAAAGTACACAACGTTGAATATGCACACGGACACACCTCGTAGATAGATGTAGTATCGATGGCCGTACTGTATGTTGAACATATGGACATTATCCTCGATGTAGTGGATGTCGCTGTTAAAAAGAAGTATTAACACCTCATCTTCAGTGGATAGACAATATAAATCTTGTGTGTGTTACAATACTAATGGTAATTGTTTCCAACACTTTTGGTCCGATAGAATGAAATACACCGAACAAAAGCATGCGTATCCACTGAATGCTGCTCACTTTACATTGCATGTGGGTATTTTAAAGCGGCATCTAAAACTGAAAGAACTTAACGTAGAATCCGAGTTGCCTCTGGGTTAACTTTGAGCACATGTTAAACATACGATGAAACACTCCTACAAAGGGGCATATCAGTTTCTTCCTTCCAGCCGCACACGAGCTCGTCTCAGTAAAAGGTTTTTCACAGTGTACACGGACGAACCAGTATTTCATGGGTAAACTATTCTTCGCCTAAAAGTGTTACACAGCGTAGCATGTAATTAACGATTGTCAAACCAGAACACCTCCAACGCGATGGAATTTGCAACCAGAATATGATTGTACCTGCCTCCAAAGATATCCGCAAACCGGTTGGTCTTCGGATGATACACATCGATGTTCAAGTCAAACACTGAGCGGCCGATCCGTTTGATCTATACGTGGTACAAATGAGAAACGCTGAATATAAGTGTAAGTTAGGGGCATCCAAATGCTCGTCGGCATCACTTATGTGCAGCATTGAGTAAGAATCAGAGCAAGCTGAAACAAGCGGTCGCTTCGTCCATGGGGAGATCTCCCTCACTCAAGACCCTGGTTGTGGGCAGACCCCTAAACCCCAAACCCTATATTCCAAAACTCTAGCAGACCGGTATTACAGCGGGACAAACACTATATTATAGCGTGATAGGCATTCTATTGTTGTTTGATGGACAATGAACTGTGGTGGATGGTTTGATAGAGGTTAAATTGGGGGGAAGTCACTCACATTGAAGGGCACCGTATTGTTGTAGCCCATCTCGTCAAAGACAAACCATTTCTGGGTCGGTTTGTTGGCGTCGAGCACACAGATGTTGTTGAACGAACATTCCTCTTCGTGTGACTTAGGGTTACAGCTGTGCGTGGTAAGAATCCAGATCAGAGAGATATTCAACATCATATACGGTCGTACAATAAGAATAAACGTACATGGATGTAAATACATTTGACTGTGTCTGTGCACGGGTATGTAGCGTACCTACCAATGCAGTCTAAAGCTTCTTTTTTATATTTGTCACAGGTACACTCTCATGTAGAGATACACATATACAGTTGTGCACGTTGCCACTGCGGTACAACCCGTTTTCTGATGTGATTTTGCATATGTAATTGCAAATGACAGTCCACCATATTGGTTAGGAATAGCACAAGAACAGCACAGAGAGTCGAAGAAGTCGGCGCCGTTGGAGTGGGCATTCGCCAATGCTTTTCACATACAACAATAAAGGGCCGAGTTCAACACTTCAAAAATATTTCATCGCCATAGTCACAACTCAGCATGTCATCTCGGCGGAGATACAGATGAAGTATTATAATCATACACGATATCATAGTGAAAATGGTTCTTTCCACTTCGGCTACATAGACACCCACGATGTGGATTATTGATACTACATATACCAACACGCAGCCACGACTGCTCTAACTATCAACTCCTGAAACATACTGATATGCAGGGTCCGCGAGTGTGTTGACTTTGACACGTGTTCCGGAGATGCGATGGGCATGAGCACGGGCAGTGGCGTCGCTAAAGTTCTTTGCCAGCAGCATGTCAATCTATGCACACCACACGATGTCATAAAAGAAGTCATGTAGACGATCACGATTAGTATACATAGCTGAGTGAATCCGTAGCTATGAACGCCGTGTCTGTGTATAGATAACACGTCCATATGAGATACGTTAATGGTATGTATGCTGATAGTTGTATAGCAAAGCAGTACCGAAATCAAGCTTATCACGAGCATCAATGGCAGAAAAGAATACACATAGTCTTGTCTTTGATTTGCCTAGCTGAACGGTCAGTAGTTGTGCAAGCCATAGCATGCTTTGCGACCAGATGCATGTGCTCTTTTCTGCATACACTCGCTGTTGCACTCACGTTCCTATACACTCACCGTTACACTTTAAAGTAGCAACAACTCACCTTTCTATCTTGCTTGCGACTTTGTGTATAGGGATCGAGTATTCTCTGGTCCATTTCGTCGTACAAGTGCGAGTCCGCTGTGTCCACATATCTATCCCTGAGTAGAGGATTATGCAAAAACGTATGCTTGAAAAGGATGCCACAACTATTCGGTGTTGGCTTGCGAGTAGAAGTACAGTCCGGTACCCAAACAGCAACGGAGAACACAGACAGCTCGGCAGACACTACCAAGTACAAATCCGAGAAAGGAACCACTTTTAGAACTCCAAATAATACAAACTTGTGCAAAAACAAAAAATCTATAAAGTGTAGTGTATTTTGTCTGTTTAGAAGGATCTGAGCTAACATGAGACTCAATATGATCACACACCAGACACTTCTTTCGTTGGTATCCTGCTGATTCTGTTGCGGCACGCGCTCTCTATTGGAATTGAATTCTGTATTTGCTACGGTTGTCTTGATCTGAAGATAGCTGGAATAAACGAAGTTTGTATTATGATTTTGGTCAGTACATACAGGTGTATACAAAGTGCAAATACAAATTTTGTGTAGTCTAGCGAATACAATTCATTTGCAGGGATGAATATTTCCCCAAGAAGCGTTTATTGATTGCTACTCCGGAATGATCCGAAGCACGCGTAGACTATTAGTAGACACAGCCAATATCGCACCGGGTACTTAGCATTTGCAGGGATAGAAGCAAGAGTACATTACTAAGAGATATTTGAGACTGCAATGGCTTCTCCTTATATCTAAATACTCGTACAAACAAGCAGACAGTCAAACAGTTAGAAACATAGACAAAAATAAATCAACACAGGCACGAAAAGGTACAAATACAAAGAGATA